TTTATGTTTGTGTATATTAGTTGCTGCCATAGGACATTTCAATAAAAATCAGGAGTGTGATGGGTTAGTTACTAGTTGCACTAGAGGAAATAGGAAGCAAAACGATGAGTACAAGGCCCTAAATTCCTAGCTCAAGATTTAGGTTAGGGACCTAAAATGCTCTACCTAATGCCCCTAAATCTATAAATAAGCTCAGTCTCATTCAACATTATATTTCTTCTTCCCTGCTTCTTCACCCTTAGTGTTTATTCCCATAGAAGTGTCTCCAGGATTTCTGTTCAGATAAATAGACAAAATCTTGCCATCTGTTGGGTCATCACACTTTGTACCTTTCCCTTTGGAACTTTCTGGGACTAGAGTCGGATTGTAGGTCTGTAAGGCAAAGACACCTGCTGGAAGAAGGCTCTGAGGAGAATCAACAGGCCCCTGGAAGGCAACCACTCAGGGGAGGCCATTAGAGATCCTTTGGCAAGTGGAGACAAACCTCCGCAAACACCAAGGAAGGTCCGTTTCTCATGCAACTCGAGAGGCAGAGGTGTTTAGGGTTCCAAGATCCTCAGCTTCATCAGAAACTGTTCACACCGCCCAGCAGTACCTTTGCAATTGATGCCCTGACTTTAACGGAAGTGCTCCTATGATAACAGGAATTCAATTTAGGTTTAGTTTATAGGATTAGGCCTCCAGCCTCACTAGATAAGGTTTGTTTGTTTTCTTTTTTTAAGACAGTAACAGAAGATTCCAAGTCCCTGAACTAAATTTTGAGCTGGGAATTTAGAGCCTTGCACTCATCATTTTGCTTCCCTACTTCCTCCAGTGCACTGACAAGTAACCAAACCATTATTCCCTTGATTTTTATTAAAATGTCCCATGGCAACAGCTAATATACACTAACATAGATACACAGAAACTATTTCAATGACTTTGACATTGGAAAGAGACCCTGTAGAGCTAGAAAGAAATTTATAAGTGACAAGCACGAAATGTGTATATAGCAATTAAAACACAAAGCAAACTACACATAGACAAAGAGGGTGGGTGTAAGAGGTGTAGACATCAAACTTGTCTTCAAGTTTAATGAAAAGCCAACATGCTTCCCAGGTTGTGGGGTTGGGTGGAGTCCAGTGTATACTCCTTGTTTTATCTATTGTGTTATTCTAAGCACCTGGGAGTGGATCTCACTGTTTCCTTGCTTGGTTGACTGAAGCTTGCACCCCAAAGTGGCCTGTAGTAAATTAGAAATGCTAGAACCTTTTTGGTATAGTATAGAGGACAGGTTCCAAAGGCTTCTGGAGATCAGGAGTGGATTAATCATGTAAGATATATTCATTCACCCCTTCTATACCCTATCTAATGGTCAAAAGACACTACTTTCAACAAGGGTGTGAGAAATATATTCAAGAGATGTGTCCCTTCATCCTCCAAGAGGTCTGTGGTGGTGATTTTATGTAGGACACTGGGAACTGCTGCCAATGAACTATGATCCCTTAAGCTAAAAGAGATGGTGGGAAGATAGAGATGGAAGGGTCATGTGACAACTAATTGCTGAAGACTGGGGCCTTAATTACTACAGTGTGTAGCAGACCTGAAACCAACATCAGAGTGGCCAAACCCTCAGAGCTCTTTGACATTAACTCTTTGATTAGTATCCCTAGAACTAAAATAAATGGGAAGCCTAGTAAAGACTAAATTGAGAAAGACTGTATAAAGAAAAACACTCTGTATCTGGTGAATGTAAGTCTGGTTTGATCACAATAGGCTTTCAAAAAATTCACAGACCCTCAACAAATTCACCATTCTATTCTCCTTTGAATGAGGAGAGATAGATCCTCTCAAGGAAAGAGGATTTACACAGGTAAAAATTGCCATTGAGTTATTGGATATTCACACGAGATCTCCTTGAAAGTCTAGATTATGTTTTCTTGATCTCTGAATTCATAGCTCCTAGCACAGCACAGGCATTAAGGTCATCAGTAATATTTATCCAGTGGCTGAAAAGTGGTTGCAAACCTCTCTAATCATCCCAACTATATTTCTATCCCAAGTGTCCTCTCAGGAATACATCCTCCAAGTCAGCAACAAATTCTCTTCCCTAGAAATCACCCTGCCCTCCACAATTTGGTCCATGTTCTAGGACCAGTTACCTGGGGTGAGCTTTAATGAAAACAAAGTGTCCTCAAGGATTCCTCTCAAGCATTCCCTCTCTCATTAAGAAGAGATGATCTTGGCTTACCTGCCTAGAATCTGGGCTGTACCACAACTTGTTGAAATTAACTGATTGTGTTCTTCCTCTCAACTTGAGTCTCCTCAGGGAGACATTGATATCTGAACTCTGATAGATAAAAACTGAAAGGAGCAGATCAAAATATTCAAGACCAAAGTGTAACAAAAGGCAATTATGTTTATTTTGACACTCGAGTACAAATGGTCTAAGATCTGAAGGATGTCAGCAGCTAAGGAGGGCGGCAGATCTATTTATGGAAGGCTAAAGAGCAGCTGGCTTTACAGACAAGTCTTTCTTATCAGGTGCCAAGGACATGCAGTTCCTTAGTGGGACTCTCCCACTGGTTCTTCTTATCAAGGTGTCAGAGGCCTCTTGAGTACATATATTTCTCACAGGTAACTGGCTGGTGCAGAACATGAAAAGTCTGGAGCATGTCTCTCTTATCTGAGTCATGACCACTGTAACAGAATGTCACAGAATGTTTTTTTCTGATATAAGATGGAGTTAGCTTGGCCCACCTAACAAACTCCAAGTGCTTAACACAGGGAAATTAACATTCAACAAATATGCATAAGGTATTGTGTATAAATACCTTTACCTTTCTCAACTGTAAATACGGAAGAATAGTGTTAGTATCACTGCTTCAGATACAAGAATCTTCTTACCCTGCCCCTTTTGGCCTAGAGCAGAGTGTATAAGGCAACAATGGACTTTCCCATCACTTTTCCAAGCATTGTCTTTTCTCACTAAGCCCACACTTACTTGGCAACCTCAAGGTTGAGACTCATGGGCCTAGAGTCTCATGGTGTCATCCTTCCCCCTCTTGGAGTTGGTGTTTCCCCTCAGTATAAACCATCCTGAGTCCATCTTGTGTGTCTCCTTGAGCAGATGTACAAGTTCTCTGTGGAGTAAGCTACTTTCAGTCATCACTGCTCAGCTCAAGATGCTCCTTGAGGAATTTGATGATGGTATAGGCCTGCCCCTGCTTTCCCTGATTTATCTGAACCCAGTCTGAAATCTATCCTCATTCTCCACATCATTGGC